TCACATGTAGGAAAGCCAACTGGTTCCAAACTACCATAAATTTATTCAAACAGCATAGCCCTCTAGGAAGCCAAGGTAGGAGGATTACAAATTCAAGACCAGCCTAGGCAATTTAACTCGACTCTTGCAAAATAACAATATCCCAAGGCGGGTGTGGTGGCGCATGCCTGTAATCCTAGCACCCCTAGCACTCAGGACGCTAAAGCAGGAGGATCGCTGAGAGTTCAAGACCAACCTGGGCTACAAAGTGAGCTCAAGGCCAGCCTGAACTGCATAGTGAGACCTGGTCTCAAAAAGACAAAGAAATAAATAAATAATCCTACTTGAGGCCGGGCATGGTGGTGCACACCTGTAATCCCAGCACTCGGAGGCTGAGGCAGGAGGATCTTGCAAGTTCGAAGCCAGCCTGTACTAAAAAATGAGTTCAAGACTAGCCTGAACTGCATAGTGAGACCCTATCTAAAAAAAAAATAATTAATTTTTTTTAAAAACCCTACACCGGGCGTGGTGGCGCACACCTGTAATCCCAGCACTCCGGAGGCTGAGGCAGGAGGATCGTTGCAAGTTCGAAACCAGCCTGGGCTACAAAGTGAGCTCAAGGCCAGCCTGTACTGCATAGTGAGACCTTGTCTCAAAAAGACCAAAAAAAAAAAAAAAACACCCTAATTGTGTGGCAAGAACACTATTTACTCAGAGATAAACTCTAGAGCTGCTAGAAGCATATAAAGCCATTTATCTCAAAGATAACTGATTTTTTTTTACACTGGATCTTGAACTCAGGACTTCGCGCTTGCTAGGCAGGCCACCGAGCTACACCCTTGGCCCTATCTCGAGGATAACTGGCCTCAGGTTATACTGCTTTTTTTTTTTTGGTCTTCTTGAGACAGGGTCTCGCTTCTCACTATGCAGTTCAGGCTGGCCTCGAGCTCACTTTGTAGCCCAGGCTGGCCTCGAACTTGGCAAGATCCTCCTGCCTCAGCCTCCCAAGTGTGTGCACCACCACACCTGGCTTTCAGATTACACTGCTTTTAATCTTACTTTTTCCCCCTAATCTAATAGTTGTAGGTGGGGCCTAAATACATCAATGTGACATAATGGCTAAGAACTACCATGAGGCAATAACCAATTATGAGTGTGCTTACCTGGGGCAATCTCTCTTCTCTTCTAATTTGTTATCCACCTTCCTTCCTTCCTTCCTTCCTTCCTTCCTTCCTTCCTTCCTTCCTTAAATAAGGCCACAGATCCAATCCCAGGCTCTCAGTATAGTAGGCAAGTGCTCTACCACTGAACTACATCCCCAGCCCCTTAGGAACTTATCTGTTTAGACAACTAAATAGGTAGAATAAGGTAAACACCACAGAGAGGAAAGAACTGTGGTGCTGTGAAAAGTTCTGGAATAGGCTTCCTTGCCAGCTGGCCCTTACCAGGCACAACTCCAGCCTGAATTCACTGGTATTCTCTTAACAAGGTATACAAGCTTCATTCAGGTTCCCTATAAGTCTAAATTGAACAACTGCTCTCACCAAGCACTCCACAGCCTCCAAATTTTCCACACTGTACCCTCAGCCAGAAAGGTCTGCCCTTCCTCTTCCTTCTTTTAAGGAGAAAAAGCCCCTTTTCTCCCTTCCTTTAAGAAGAAAAAGCCCCTTTCCTTCTTTAAGGCCTGATTTGAATGTCACCTCTTCAATTGGTCCTTACTTGGATCCTCAAAGAACTAGAAATTATGCTTCCTCTACATTCCTTTACTTATAGCACTTAAAGCACTTTATCATTACCAGTTTACCAGGGACTCCACTTAAGGGCCCCTATGGACTAAGAGATCCAAGACATCTAGGTATCCTCAACCATTACAGCATCCAAAATAGTGTGTCAAGCACTATTTAAGTACTTTACATAAACCAACATGTATGCCTATGTTTGTCATTGCAACAAAACTGCAAATGAAGTAGAAATTTTCATCATCTCAATTTTACAGATGAGGAAAATAAACATTAAGTAATGTGCCCAGTAGCAAAGCTTGAACGGATTGGCCACCAGATTTCAACCTATCAACAACTCCCTAAGTGAATTTCAAAAGTTTAGAATTTCAATCTAAACCATCACATTTTTTGCCAATAAACTAGATTTTTTTCACAGTAGATCTGATGGATTGAGGGGAAGTTCCCACTACAAAATCAGTAATTTCTACCGCAAGAGGAAACTTACTGTTCAAATACTGGGGTGTGAAAAGACCATACTGGAACTTCTACTTGTACTCACAGCTCATCCTTCCTTTTTTTTTTTGGTACCAGAAATCGAATTCACAACCTCATGCTTGCCAGGCAAGCACTGTGCCGTTGACCTGGCTCATCCTTCTGTAAAATGGCTTTTTCTGTTGTAAAATGTAATACAATGTACAGCCAAGCAAATATTCCTATAAAGTGTGTGTATTTTCAACCATATTTTCAAAAAAAAAAACATATTTCCTGACAGAATGAACACTTGAGGCCACTGTGCTAGACTGCATCCCCAGGGACTCCACTTAAGCATTTGAGCTCTTTCCTACCTTCCCTCTCCCCAGTACTAGTTAAAACATTAGCCAATTAAGACTATAGATTTTTAAAAAAGGAGAAGCTGGGCATGGTAATGCATGCCTGCAAGCCCAGCACTTCTGACGGAGGCTGATGCAGGATGATGGCCTTAAATTAGAGGCCCAGCCTAGGCTACATAACGAGTTCAAGGACAGACTGAATTATACAGCAAGGCCCTGTCTCAAAAAAACCCAAAAGAGCCGGGCGTGGTAGTGCATGCCTGTAATCCCAGCACTCAGGAGGCTGAGGCAGGAGGATCGTTGTGAGTTCAACACCAGCCTGTGCTACAAACTGAGCTCAAGGCCAGCCTGAACTACATAGCGAGACCCTGCCTCAAAAAGACAAAAAAAAAGACAGACACTAAGTAAGCTTCTAGAAGGCACAGCAGACGGTCAGTGTTGAACCTAAATGTATCATAAAGACCTTCATGTAAAAAAAAAAAAAAAATCATCTCAGTACCACTTGATTTTATGTGTGGTAGAGAGAGAAGTACCAAGGATTAAATCCAGGTTATGTCTCCAACCCCTTTTTTGAGACAGGGTCTTGCTATTAAATAGCCCAGATTGAGTTTGAATTTATGATCTTCCTGCTTCATATTACAGAGTGCTGGGATGACAGACGTGTACCACCAACGCCCTGCATTTGGATGCAATTTAATACACTCTTCCAGTTAAAATAAAAAGTATAGTAAAGGCACAGTCTTGGAATTTAAGACAGGATTCCCTTAGGAAAACTAAAAACAAAAACAACTCAGTTACATAACAACCAAAAGTAGCTGCACTTCTGGGCATATTTTAAACTGGAAGTTTTAAATTCAGCAGGGTATGGTGGTGCATACCTGTAACCCTAGCACTGAGGAAGGCTGAAGCAGGAGGATCAATGATCCTGGCAACTCAGGAAGAGCTCCCTATCTCAAAAGGCTGGAGATGTAATTCAAGGCAAAGGCCCTGGATTCAATCCCGAGTATACGGAAAAATAAATAAACAAATTTAGATAAGAGGTCTTTTCACTTTACTGAGATTATTCCTTTGTCAAACCTGAAGAGTCACCTGTCTGCCTCTCTTTAGTTATAAATTCCAAAAGAAATAAACTATGAGTGCAAAACTGCCAACCTATGAAAATGCTTTAACTGGGTGAATCTACTTTGTATTTCTTCAATTCAACATTTAATGAGTACCAACCCAAGAGGAAAGGTTGTGTAAAGCCTCCCTTAAATACTGAATAACATCTCTCCTGGGTAGACAGAGTTCCTAATGCTCCTCAGTATCATCCTCTGTAAAATGGGCATACTCAAATACCTAACTTTTATTAACACTGTTGCCAGGCTTAAACAAGAGGAAACATTTGAGACAGATTTATGGGTTTTCTCATTTACTAAATTTCTTCCCTCTTCCACCTAAACTCAAAACCAGAGCCTAGTTGTTGCTATATTCCCAGAGCCTAGAGTGGTACTTTTTACTTATGAGATGGTTTAATAAATATTAAATGAATAGAGTGCAAAATACCTGGTACTTTAGAAAGAAGGAAGGAAGGAAAGAAAGAAAGAGAGAAGTTGGCTGTTATTGTTATTGTAATGAAAAACAATTAAAATTTTATTGTTCTTATTAAGCGATGCCTCCCCTCCTCCTAAGGATCTCACAATTTTAGGTGTAACAAGAGATAGATATTGGAATATCGAGATGGAAGTAAAATCGATCGACCCCGAGAATAGGACTAACAGACAAGAAAATAAAATGCTAAGCAAATCCAAGACCCAAGCCCAATTTCGGACTCTTCCGAGTAAGGTCCACAAAGAAGGAAACTAAACCACGAACACAATGACAGTTTTCACGCCTATGACCGCGCCAAGGTGTGTATCACGCGCTGTGCAGCCCTCACTAAGCCCAGCTGCTCGAGGGCACTGCAGGGAACTCTTCACAACCCCATTCTTCAGACGCGGTAACTGAGACTCGGGGAGAGCCAAGGTCACAGACATCTGGTGGTGGCGGCGGCCGGACGCGAAGCCAGGCCCCTCCGGCGCCACCCGCGCCTCCCCAACACCTCCCACACGGCCCTCCAACGCGGGGTTGCGGACTGCGTGCCTCTCCGAGCCGGACTTGGGGCCCCGACCAGAGAACAAAACAATACTTGTCCGCGGCGCGTCAGTGGACGCGCGCCCGGCCTGGACTCCGAGGCCGCGGTCCCCACAGCTTCTCCACACCGCGAGCCGCGAGCCCTCTGGCGCCGCTGGAAGCGGCGAGGTGGCCTCGCGGCCCGCGAAGGCCCGGGCCGCCGCGTGACCTTGGATCCGCCCTGGCGGGCCTCAGTTTCCCCATCCCGGCCTCGCGCCGTGGCGGGGTGGAGGACCCTCTCGGGAGCCTCGAGGCACGCGATGGCGCCGCAGGCCCCTCACACGCCCCCCACAGCCGCCCGTCTTCCCGCCCCGCTTACACTGGAAGGCGGCCGCTCCAGGGACGCCCACCATCGCAGAGCGTCGCCCGCCGTGCGCCGCCCGCCTCGGCCCACAGCCCGAGTTCCTCGCAGGCGCCGCCACGGGAACTGCAGACGTACCGCTCTCGGAGACACCAGCGCCACCGCCGCCTCCGCCACTGCCGTTAGGCCGCGCGCCGCCCCGCCCCTCCGCTTCGCCCCGCCCCACCCCGCCCTCGGGACACGCCCCCACCGCGCGCTCTCGCCCGCCTGACCAACGCACGCGGAAGCCCCGCCCAAGACCAGCTCCCAGTAAAACCCCGCCCCCTGACCTGACCCGCCCCTTCCGCGCGAACATATCGCCCTATCCCGGAGCACTCTGCTTATCAGACCCGCCCCCCTGCGTCACGCGCTCCCATCCAGAGCACGGCGGGTCTTTTAGACCTGGACTTCCGGATGAGGCCAGGACTGGGACTCAGACGCGGTTGCGGAGCTTGGGGGCGGGTCTTAGAGAGAGGGAAGACTGCCTCACCTGTTTTCCAGGTAGAGGACTGATTGCTTTTATGTGAGATTGTGGGGAAATTGCTTTCTCTTTTAGGCCTACAGCTTTCTAAATGTCTAAAATATCATTATAATATTAGTAACTGTTAGCTATCGTTATTTTGGTTTGTTTTTGAGATGGAGGTCTCACTATGTTGCCCAGGCTGGTCTCTTACACATGGACCTAAGTGATCCTTTTGCCTCAGCCTCTAGAGTAGCAGAATCTACAGGTGCGGGGCAGCTGTCGTTATTGAGATGTTTATCTCGCTTGGGTGCTGTTTTTATACACTCTGTGTAATCGTCACAAGCATGTGCAACGCCCTGATTCAATCCCCAGTACCACAATTTTAAACAGAAAGAAACTTAATTCACTCAGATGGCTTGTGCACCTCACTGTGCTTATCTACATCCAGATATGACAAACTCCAAACCCTATAGGAGTGAGATCAAGAAATTCACTAAAGAAGACAAAATTGCAAGAGAAAAATCCACCACCTTGGGGCTGGGGATTTAGCTCAGCGGCAAAGCGCCTGCCTGGCAAGTGCAAGGTCGTGAGTTCGATTCCTGGTACAGGGAGAGAAGACAAAAGAAAAAAAAAAAAAAAAATCCACCACCTTCAAAAGAAATGATTGAACAGAAGCAAGAAACGGAATCGTAATGAGGCGTGTCCCAGCAATATGTGCCCTTGCATTTCACAAACACTATGTTCTTTTTTTTTTTTTTTTGGTACCGGGAGCGGAACTCAGTTCCTTGCACTTGCCACGCAGGCGCTTGTGCCTCTGAGCTATATCCCCAGCCCACTACGTTTTTTTTTTGTTTGTTTTTTTCCGGTACCGGGAATCGAATTCACGACCTCGCGATTGCCAGGCAGGCGCTGTGCCGCTGAGCTAAATCCCCCCAACACTACGTTAATTGTACTTGTTTTAGCTGTTCAGCTTCTTCCACATCAAAGAATAGAGAACTATTGTACCACCTGCCTATCTGGCTGTCAGGAAGGAAAAAAGTTTAGATTCTAGTAAGGAAGAAGCTGGGTGGGATGAAGGTAAAATCTATGGTGTAATACAAGCTGGTCCAAAGGATCCTGCAGCTTTAGATCAGAGTGGGCTTTTGTTGCTGTTTAAAATTATTTTAGGACAGGGGATATAGCCCAGCATCACAGCACCTGCGTGGCAATCGCAAGATCCTAAATTCAATTCCCTGTACCATAAATGAATGAATGAATGAATGAATATATTTTAATTTGCCAGGCATGGTGGCCCATGCCTGTGATGCCAACAATTAGGAGGGAGGCTGAGGCAGGGGTATCACCCCAAGTTTGAGGCTAGCCTTGGCTACACAATGAGTTCTAGCCCAGCCTGAGCTACATAGCAAGCGAGACCTTGTCTCAATAAAAAAAGAAAAAAAGATTTTAATTATTGGAATGGACAATTTTTTTTTTTTTTTTTTGTCTTTTTGAAACAGGGTCTCGCTATGCACTTCCAGCTGGCCTTGAACTCACTTTGTAGCTTGGGCTGGCCTCAAACTTGCAATGATCCTCCTGCCTCAGACTCCTGAGTGCTGGGATTATAGTTGTGTGCCACCATGCCCAGTTTGGAGTAGACAATTTTTAATATACAAAGAAAAAGTTTAAAAAACCCCAAAAATGGGGGCTGGGGATTTAGCTCAGCGGCACAGCGCCTGCCTGGCAAGCGCAAGGTCGTGAGTTCGATTCCCAGTACGGCGGCGGAGGGGGGAGGGTACTGAGGTGTATTTTATGTACAGCGAACTACATCGATGTAAAGGCTACAATTTGATGAGTTGTTTTTCTGTCTTTTTTTTCTTTCTATACCTGGGATTGAACCCTGGGCCTTCACACTGAGCTGCATATCCAATCCGTTTTTTTTTTTTTTTTGAGACAGGATCTTGCTGAGTCACTAACTTGCCTAAACTGGACTCAAATTTGAGATCCTCCCGCCTTGGTCTCCCAGAATACTTGGATTACACGCCATCCACACCCAGCTATTTGCTGAGTTTTAAAAGCTTTATATACCTGTAAAATCACCAGTGCTATCAAGATCGAGAGCTTTTCCATCATCCCTATAAGATTCTTCCTGCTTCTCTGCAATCTACTCTTCCATCTGCACCTGCATCCAAGGAACTACTGATCTGCTTTGGGTTGCTATGTGAGTTTATGTTTTCTAGAATCACATGTAAATGGACACATATGGCACATAGTGTTGCATCCAGATTTGTGTGTGTGTGTGTGTGTGTTTTGAGACAAGTAGCCTAAGCTATCCTCGAACCTACAACACTCCTCCTGCTTCAGCCTCCTGATTGCTGGAGTTATAGGCTTGCAAACCTTACCTGTGTCTAGCTTCTTGCATCTAGCATAATGATTCTGAGATTCATCTGTGTTGTGTATATCAGGAATTTACCTTCCCTTTTATGGCTAGGGAGTATTCCTGTGATCAAATTATGTGATCAAAAATATGGTGAATTAGCCGGGTGTGGTGGTACACACCTGTAATCCCAGTACTTGGGAGGCTGAGGCAGGAGGATCATTGTGAGTTTGAGGCCAGCCTAGGCTACAAGGTGGGCTCAAGGCCAGCCTGAACTGCATAGCAAGACCCTGTCTCAAAAAAAGACAAAAAAAAAAAAATGGTGAATTTTAAAATGTTTTAAAATTTTCTTACAGTAAAAGACACATTGCCATTCACTCCCCTCAAAATACTTTCCCACAATTCAAACATACTTAACCCATTATTCTTGCTGCCTTCTGTAGCAATTCTGAAAATCTTTTTTCATGTCTTTCCTTGCATGATCATGGCTGCCTCCATGTCCAGAATTGATTCAACTCACTAAGTGGCCCACTCATTTCATAGTCATTTTGGCTTTGGAGAAGAGCCAGAAATCACACAATACCAAATTTGGTCAATAAGAAGCATGAGAAGCTGGACAGGGAGGTGCACACCTGTAATCTCGACACTCAGTAAGCTGAGGTAGAAGGACTGCTGTGAGCTGAAAGCCATCCTGAGCTACATAGTGAATTCAAAGTCTGCCTGGGCTACATAGTGAAAGTTCAAGGCCAGTGTGAACTACATAGCAAACTCTGTCTCAAAAACAAAACAAAACAAAACAAAACAAACAAAAAAAAAAACAACCAAGTTGGATGAAGACATCCACCTTAATGTTTGCCTGTTTGTTTGTGACAGGGTCTTACTTTGTCATTCAGGCTCTCCTTGAACTCACTGTGTATCCCAGGCTGGCCTCAAACTTGCAACAATTCTCCAGCCTCAGCCTCCCAAGTGCTAGGATTACAGGTGTGCACCACCAGTGCCCGCCCATAATGTTTTTATTTAACAGACATTGCCATACCAGAGTGATATGTGACACAAGCCATGATGGAAGATGAGACCATTTGCTATTTCTCAGGCCATTTTCTATGTGCTTAGTTTCTTAAATGCTCTGATAAACACTTACAATATTCAGAGTTCGCTGTAGTGTTTGTGGTACAAAGTCAAGTCTCGGTATTCCATAAAGGTAGAGCTGGGGATGTAGCTCAGTGGCACAAGTGCCTGCCTAGCAAGTAAAAGGTCCTGAGTTCAATTCCCACTACCAAAAAAAAAGAAGTATTCCATAATGGCCAAAAAACACAATCCAGTGATGTTGGATCTTGATTGATAGGTTTTTTTTCCTCAGGAGGAGAGCTGGGTGCTTTCCTTTGAGAACTCTGCACCTTGTTCTCAGGATCATAACCACAGAGCCAAGTTTCATCTCCTGTGGTGCTTCTGTTGTTGTTTTGAGAACAGGGTCTTGATTTGTAGTTCAGCCTGGCTTTGTTTTTTTTGTTGGCTTTTTTTTTTGAGACAGGGTCTTGCTATGCAGTTTAACTGGCCTTGAGCCTACTTTGTAGCCCAGGCTTGTCTCAAACTCACAAGGATCCTCCTCCCTCAGCCTCACAAGTGCTGGGATTACAGGTGTGCACCACGACACCCTACCTTCAGCCTGGCTTTGAACTCACTGTGTAACCCAGACTCTCCTGGAACTCATGGCAATCCTCCTGCCTCAGCCTCCTGAGTGCTGGGATTACAGGCATGTGCCACCACACCCAGCTCCACGATGAAATTTCTTAAAAAGCTGGAACTGAGGCAGCACAATTACACAACTCTGATGAAACTGACAAAATTTTACATTATTGTGTTGTTTGTGATCCATGATTTATGGCACACTTTAAGCCATACCTTCTCTCAGTGGTAACAATCAACTGACTACACCCAATAAATTGATACTTGTCACACATTGTTACGTGCCACTTCTCATATGAAAGATCCCTATCTTTCCATTGGATAACACTCAGCAGCCACATTCATCATATTTTTTTTAATTACTCTGTGAATATACCATGTTCTATTGGGTTTTTTTTTGGTTTGGTTGGTTTTTTGAGACAGGATCTCACTATGTACTTTAGGCTGATTTGGAACTCACTACATACATGGCTTCAAACTCCTGGAAATCTTCCTGCCTCTGCCTGTTGGGATTACAGATATGTGCTACCATGCCTGGTCTTCTAGTGTTTTGGAGGGTGTTTGCTTGTTTCTTTGTTTGAGACATGGTCTCGCTATATAGTTCATGCTGGCCTTGAACTCACTGTGTAGCCAAGGCTGGCCTCAAAGTTGAGGTGATC